AGTGTACTGTCTTCCTATCATCACCTGCACCAAATCTATAAGCTCTGTACGCTCTACTGAGACCTGAAGTAATCCTAGTTAGGTATTACGCAGCTGTCACACACTCAGTGTTGATCATGGTCAGTGATAATCCAGGCGAAATTGCACGATCATGATTGGGTCCTTTGCGCATGTGGCCGAGGGGAGTCAGTCACAGCTTAGAAATTGGATCCTGATAGGGCTAGATCGCAATCAGTAGTCGCTGTGTGACGCCGGTTTCAAACGGGGTAAGCATACGCCTATCTAGCCCTGTACGCTTGTTTACTATATAAGTACCCGCCAAACGTCACTTTTCTATTCTCAATTACGGTGAATCTTACTGTGCTATTAAGGTCTTAATTTGATTACGCTTTTATTTTCACATTTCAATTAAGCTCTATTGAAGTATGGCCGGTCCTATCCAAACCTTTTATTCAGTCAACTTAATCCGCATTGACCAAACCAAACCTAACCAACCTTGCGGTAAATAGAATCATTACTACCCTTCTGGAAGGATATTTATAATTGTCAGACTTGAATTACACTTTTATGACTTAGAAGTGTGGACGTTTGCGCTAGTTGGTATGACATGACGATAGTTATTGCGCGAGAACAGAGCGACGACGCAGAGACAAGAGACTTCGTGTCCTTCTTGTCTCTTTGTCGTCGTTCTGTTCTCGTGCTATAAATATCGTCACCTTTATGACGGTGTGTTGAGACCATGAAAGGTCAACCCAGCCGGTCTGGGTTTATGCTGCTAGGTTATATAATTGTAATAACGGTAATGTCATTTCGTTTATTTTTCTGAACGTCTGTTTCGAATAAAGTATTGCGGAACTCTATAGGTTCTCTCTTCACAGTCGTCGCCTCAATATTCGAAAACTATTACAGTAGTATTTATATGGCATCCGTGCTTCATTCGGTGTGCCCACTACTCGATTCGTAATCTATTAGGTTTAAGATGCACTATTCACACACCCAAAAATTCAATCCAAACGTAAAGAATGAAGCGCAGAAGCAGTCGTCTTTCCTATCGCTTGTACTAAACTAAGCCTGTTCTGAAGTTGAGACAAAATGCGTTGAATGAACTCCGTCGTGAAGTGAGAAATAATCAATCCGTCCATCAATTTACAGTTAGAAAGAGAGCTAGGTTTGCCCCGCCGTGGTGGTCTAGCGGCTAAGGTATTCGGCTGCTGACCCGCAGGGCGCGGGTTCGAATCCCGGCTGCGGCGGCTGCATTTCCGATGGAGGCGGAAATGTTGTAGGCACGTGTGCTCAGATTTGGGTGCACGTTAAAGAACCCCAGGTGGTCGAAATTTCCGGAGCCCTCCACTACGGCGTCTCTCATAATCATATGGTGGTTTTGGGACAATAAACCCCACAAATCAATCAGAGCTAGGTTCAAAACATTGAGGATAACCAGGGCAGACCACTGGTTGGCTGCGATATTCGTACTTGGGTAAGGAAACTACCGGGTGCGGCGATGGCGTAGTGGTTAGAGCATCCGCCTCGCATGCAAGAGGTCCGTGGCTCAAATCCCGGTGCCACGCAGTTCCCAACCGGATTAAAAAAAATCCGCGTGGTGATGGAACTGCATTACGAGGCCTGGGGTGTGGCCTCACCGGCAACCACCACCGGGAACGCACTCCCTCGCCAGAAAAGGATTGGCCACCCTGGTGCAGTATCTGGCCACTACCTCCCACATGCATACGTCAAATAACTCACGGCCCTCAGTCCCCAGCAGCTGCGAAGCAACTGACCATGGCGGCGGTCAGATCTGCAACGCAGCAGAGGGTGCTAAGAATCTCTGGACTACAGGCCGCCATTGGAACCTGAACTTGGCAACGTTTAACGCTAGAACCTTGTCTAGTGAGGGAAGTCCAGCTGTACTATTCGAGGAGATAGAGGGTGTTAAATGGGATATAATAGGGCTCAGTAAGGTTAGGAGGACAGATGAGGCCTATACGGTGCTACAGAATGGGCACGTCCTTTGCTATCGGGGCTTGGCTGACAGAAGAGAACGGGGAGTGGGGCTCCTAATTCACAGAAACATAGCTGGCAACATCGAGGAATACTAGATCATTAATGAAAGGGTGGTAGGCATCGTAATTAAACTGAATAAGAGATACAAGATGAAGGTGGTACAGGCTTATGCGCCTACATACAGCCATGATGACGCTTCAGTTGAAAGCTTCTATGAAGACATGGAATCGGCAATGAGTAAGGTAAAAACAGTACACAATACTGATGGGAGACTTTAATGCAAAGGTAGGGAAGAAGCAGACTGGAGACCAGGCAGTAGAAGATTATGGCATCGGTACTAGAAACGCCAGAGGAGAGCTACTAGTAGAATTCGTAGAACGCAATAATTTACGGATTTTGAATACCTTCTACCGAAAACGAGGAAACCGCAAGTGGACATGGAGGAGCCGTAATGGCGAAAATAAGAACGAAATAGACTTTATAATGAGTGCACACCCAGGCATCGTGCAGGATGTGGAAGTGGTTGGCAAGGTACGATGCCGTGACCATAGAATGGCACGGTCACGAATTCACCTAGACTTGAGAAAGGAATGGCAGAAACTAATACGCAAGAAGCCAATCAATGAGCTAGCACTGAGAGGGAAAGTACAGGAATTCAGAGTCTCACTTCAGAACAGGTACTCGGCTCTTAGTGAGGAAACCAAGCTTAGCGTAGATACAATGAATGATAATCTGACGAGTATCATTACGGAGTGTGCAGTGCAAGTTGGAGGCAGGGTAGTTAGACAGGACACTGGCAAGCTTTCCCAGGAAACGAAGAATCTCATTAAGAAGCGTCAAATCATGAAAGTCTCAAGTACAACAAACAAAATTGAACTGGCAGAGCTTTCGAAGTTGATTAATAGGCGTAAGGTATCCGACGTAAGAAGGTATAACGAGAAAATTGAACATGCTCTGAAAAACGGAGGAAGCGTCAAAGCAGTGAAGAGGAAACTTGGGATAGGCAAAAATCGGATGTATGCACTAAGGGACAAAGAAGGTGAAATAACTACCAATATGGATAGCATAGTTGAAATAGCGGAGGAGTTTTACAGAGATCTGTACAGTAGCCGGGACAACCACGACTTTAATACTATAAGATCTAGCAGTAACCCAGATGACACCCCACCAGTAATGATAGAAGAAGTCAGAAAAGCTTTGGAGAGCATGCAAAGAGGCAAAACTGCTGGTGAGGATCGGGTAACATCAGACCTGCTGAAAGATGGAGGACCGATTGTGTTAGAAAAACTAGCCACGCTGTTTACGAGGTGTCTCCTGACGGGAAGGGTACCAGAGTCTTGGAAGAACGCTAACATCATCTTAATACATAAGAAAGGAGATGACAAGGACTTGAAGAGTTACAGGCCGATCAGCTTGCTCTCTGTAGTATACAAGCTATTTACAAAGGTAATTGCTAACAGAGTAAAGAAAACATTAGAATTCAATCAACCAAAGGAACAAGCAGGATTTCGAACAGGCTACTCAACAATTGACCACATTCATACTATCAATCAGGTAATAGAGAAATGCTCAGAGTATAACCAACCACTATACATAGCCTTTATAGATGACGAGAAGGCGTTTGATTCAGTAGAATTATCAGCCGTCATGCAGACACTGCGGAATCAGGGCATAGATGAAGTATATATAAACATTCTGGAAGAAATCTACAGGGGATCAACTGCTACCATAGTGCTTCATAAAGAAAGCACCAGAATACCAATCAAGAAGGGTGTAAGGCAGGGGGACACAATTTCCCCAATGCTATTTACCGCATGCTTACAGGAGGTTTTCAGAAGCCTAGAATGGGAACAGTTAGGGTTAAGAGTTAATGGAGAATACCTTATACCTTAGTAACCTGCGCTTCGCCGATGACATTGCATTGCTGAGTAACTCAGGGGATGAATGGCAACTCATGATTACGGAGTTAGACAAGGAGAGCAGAAAGGTGGGTCTTAAAATTAATCTGCAGAAAACGAAAGTAATGTACAACAACCTCGGAAAGGAGCAGCGCTTCGAGATAGGTAATAGTGCACTTAAAGTTGTAAAAGACTATGTCTACTTAGGGCAGGTAATAACCGCAGAGGCTAACCACGAGATTGAAGTAACTAGAAGAATAAGAATGGGGTGGAGCACATTCGGCAAGCACTCTCAAATTATGACACGTAGATTGCCACTATCCCTCAAGAGGAACGTATATAACAGCTGTATCTTGCCGGTACTTAGCTACGGAGCAGAAGCTTGGAGACTTACAAAGAGGGTTCAGCTTAAGTTGAGAACGACGCAGTGAGCAATGGAAAGAAAAATGGTAGGTGTAACCTTAAGAGACAAGAAGAGAGCAGAGTGGATTAGGGGACAAACGGGGGTTAAGGATATCATAGTTGAAATAAAGAAGATGAAATGGACATGGGCCGTGCATGTAGCGCGTAGACAGGATAACCGCTGGTCGTTAAGGGTAACTAACTGGATTCCCAGAGAAGGCAAGCGGGTTAGGGGGAGACAGAAGGTTAGGTGGGCAGATGAGATTAAGAAGTTTGCTAGTATAAATTGGCAGCAGCAAGCACAGGACCGGGTTAACTGGCGGAACATGGGAGAGGCCTTTGTCCTGCAGTGGACATAGTCAGGCTGATAATGATAATGGAGGAAACTACGTCTTGTGACAGCTCAATGATTGCCTTGATGCGTTATTCTCAGACAGCGTTAGTGTTATAAGTCACTTAGCAGTATACCGTTAGGGCCTCTGTTATTCGCTTTGATGTCTCCCAATCCATCAATCAATCGACGAATCAATCAGTCTGTCAATCAATCTATCATTAAATTTGTCAGATATGATCGACCTAACAAGTAATGGTGTGAAGCTATCAGCAGCATTCACGATCGGGAAATACACCATTCTCATAAGCATGTGCCGCGCCCTACAAAGCGCGCGAATGTTTTGTTGGTATTTTTTTTTCTTCCAGGACTTCTACGGTTACCCACCGCCACCGCCACGATACAACTACGCCACGTTCGATCCCACAGCTCCTGTGTCGGGACCACTGCAGCCTTCCGCACCGCCGGCCTACCGCTCACGATGACGCGAGCCTCGCGCCTGCCTTCCAAGGCCCGCATCCCTTCGTTCGGGGTCGCGACGCACGTGCGGCCCCCTGGACCCTGCGGATTGCTTGAGGCGGCTTCCGGACGCTCCCGGCAGCTGCCCCAATGACCGCGGGACGAGCGCCTTCACTCCGCGGTGCTCGTCTCCCATCGAAGACAGCGCGTTCCTCACGAGTACGTGCATGGAATCGGAGGTTGCCAGCGCGCCAGAGTCTTCGTCACACGATTTCGGTGACGTGACCGCGATGAACGCTGTCCTGCGTCCAAGTCGGGGCCCACCTCGAAGTCACAACCCGCTGACAATGGTGTCCGACGAATGGTGACGTGCCCTCTTTTGGAAAATAAAACACATATTCTTGCCCCAAACTATATCGTCTTTCCTGACCATTATTTCTTTTTTATCCATCCATTCATTCATCCATATTCGTCCGGCCATTCGTCCATTCGTTGAATTCAATTCGAATGCAGCCAGCTGTAACTTGCCTGCGGCTCCTCTGAACTGTAGTACAGTAACTTTTTAAATATATTGTAACGATGTTGAAGGACTCGGGGTATAACAAAACGTATTTATTAAAAGGCGAACCTGTGCCCACAACTCAAAGGGACTATGGTCGTAGCACGTTACAGCAGAACGGCAAGATGTCTTCTCCTTCTACTTCTTCAAGAAGAGTCCCAAGCGCGTGGCACACATCAGCAGGGGCCAGCTGGGTTCTCGTGCTATCATCATCGTCTCTGCGCAACACTAGACGGCGCCCATGTATGCCTCTGTGCACGTGGTGATGGGCGCGTTGTTTGAATGCAGGCACTATGTCGTGGCATAATCCCCCTCCTCACACGCATCGTCCCGATGCGTCAGGCAATGAATAGATTCGTGGTAGGCGTAGGCGTCACTGGTCTTCCGGTGATCTCTCATAGTACGGCTTCATCCGGACTACATGTACAACCTCTGTAGGGTTGCGGCGTTTTGAGCTCCCGTGTATAGCGGATCTGACTTGGTAAGTTACATCGCTTACACGATGGAGTACTTCGTAAGGCCCGAAGTAGTGGCTAAAAAGTTTTTCAGAAAGTCCGCGGCGACGCACTGGGGTCCATATCCATACTTTGTCACCTGGTTGAAAATGCGCTTCGGTACGACGCTGATTGTACCGATAGGAGTCGATACGTTGTTGGCGGCGTATTCTGTATCTCGCCATCTGTCGTGCTTCCTCGGCTCTTTGCAGGAAGTCGTCTAGGCCAGGTGGATTGCTGCTTTCATCATTCAGTGGTAACATGGCATCCAGTGGAGTGGTGACTCTTCGGCCGAATACAAGTTCAAATGGTGTCACTCGCGTTGTTTCTTGAACGGCTGTATTATATGCGAACGTGATGTAGGGCAATATTTCCTCCCACAGTTTATGTTCGACGTCGATATACATTGAAAGCATATCAGTTAGAGTTCTGTTCAAGCGCTCCGTTAGGCCATTTGTTTGAGGATGGTATGCTGTAGTTCTTCTCTGGTCTGTGTGGGTCATTCGCATCAGACATTTCATTAGGTCTGCAGTAAAAGCTGGGCCACGATCTGTAATTACCACGCTGGGTGCACCATGTCTGAGGACTATGTTGTTGATGAAGAACTTGGCAACTTCAAGAGATGTTGCAGTGTACAGCGAGTCAGTCTCAGCATAGCGAGTGAGATAGTCTGTGGCTACGACTATCCACTTCTTGTGTGCAGTCGATGTCGGAAATGGGCCTAGGAGATCCATACCAACTTGTTGGAATGGGGCATGCGGTGGTTCTATTGGCTGGAGGAGGCCTGCAGGTTTCACGGATGCAGTTTTGCGTCTTTGACACTCACGGCAAGTTTTCACATAGCGCTGAACTGATGATAACAGTTTTGGCCAGTAGTATTTTAGGTGAATTCTGGCGAATGTACGGCTGACACCCATGTGCCCAGATGTTGGCTCATCCTGACATGCGTGCAGAATCTCGTTTCGTAAAGGTGCAGGTACAACGAGTAAAAACTTGTCACCATGAGGCTTGAAGTTCCTCTTGTAAAGGACCCCTTCCCGAAGACAGAACGAAGGGAGCCCTCTGGATAAAGTGCGCGGGACTTTAACGTTGAGTCCTTGGAGACGCTGTATAAGCGGCAGCAAATCGGGGTCATTTTGTTGTTGTTCAGCGATTTCTGATGCCTGGACGACGCCTAGAAACGGGAAGTCTTCTTCCTCCGGCTCACTCGTCTCCACTGGTGCGCGTGACAGGCAGTCGGCATCGCTGTGCTTTTTCCCAGATTTGTATACCACAGTAACATCGTACTCTTGTAGCCTAAGGCTCCATCTTGCTAGTCGGCCAGAGGGATCCTTAAGATTCGCCAGCCAACACAGGCATTGGTGGTCACTTACTGCTTGGAATGGTCTACCGTAGAGCTACGGCCGAAATTTACTTATGGCCCAAATGACCGCGAGACACTCTTTTTCGGTTGCAGAGTAGTTTGTCTCAGCTGTCGAAAGCTTGCGGCTGGCATACGCTAGCACTTTTTCTTGGCCGTTTTGCCGCTGGACTAGAATGGCTCCGAGGCCGACGTTACTCGCATCAGTGTGAACTTCAGTTTCGGCAGTATCATCGAAGTGGGCGAGGATTGGAGAGGCTTGCAGGCGTGTTCTTAACTCATCAAATGCTTCCTGTTGTTAACTTTCCCACCTAAAGGGCACCTCGTCTTTTGTCAGATTAGTAAGTGGTTCAGCAATGTTCGAAAAATTTTCCACAAATCGCCGATAGTACACGCATAAACCCAGGAAGCGACGTACTGACTTCTTGTCTTTGGGTGTCGGGAACTTCGCGATGGCAGCTGTCTTTTCGGGATCTGGCCGAACGCCATCGGAGCTGACGACGTGTCTGAGGAATCGAAGCTCTTCATAAGCGAAGTGGCATTTTTATGGCTTGATGGTCAAGTCTGCTGAACGAATGGCTTCTAATACTGTGCGGAGTCGCTCTAGATGTTGGTCGAATGTAGCGGAAAATACGACAACGTCATCCAAGTACACCAAGCAGGACTGCCATTTCAGTCCCGCGAGAACAGCGTCCATCATTCTCTGAAACGTAGCTGGCGCTGTGCACAGGCCAAATGGAAGCGCTTTAAATTCGTAGAGTCCGTCTGGGGTTATGAATGCCGTCTTTTCACGGTCGCGCTCATCCACCTCAATTCGCCAATATCCGCTCTTGAGATCAAGGGAGGAGAAGTATTTCGCACTCCGTAGTCGGTCGAGTGTATCATCGATACGCGGCAGAGGGTATACATCCCGTTTCGTTACGCTGTTCAGTTTCCGATAGTCGACGCAGAATCGAAGGCTGTTATCTTTCTTTTTAACAAGCACTACGGGAGACGCCCATGGACTGCTGGAAGGCTGGATCACGTCATCTGAAAGCATCTCCTCCACTTGTTTCTTGATGACGTCTCTTTCCTTTTGCGATACTCGATATGGGTGTTGGTAAATCGGTCTCGTGGCTTCTTCTGTTATAATCCTGTGTTTTGCAATAGCCGTTCGTCGCACCTTAGAGGACGTTGAAAAGCAGTCCGAAAACTCTTTTATAAGGGCAAACAATCGTTTCTTTTGATATTCTGGGAGCCTATGGTTGACGTTAACTGATGCGTCGACGTTGCAGGCCTCTTGTGGAGTGGTTGGCGTTGTCGCTAAACTGCATAGTTCAGTCGCCATGCAGAACTCGTGGAAATAGGCGACAGCCATACCTTGCGCGATGTGCTGACATTCATTCCCAAAATTCGTAAGGAGGACAACTCAGCGGCCATTCGTTAAGTGAACAACACCCCTTGCCACACAAATTCCTTTGTTTAAAAATAGCTCTACGTTTCCATCCGCTATTCCTTCGTGGTCACAAAATGCCTTATTTTCCACAAGCACCATTACACTACAGCGAGGTGGCACGGTGACGTCATCATCAACAACGCGCAGAGCAGTAAGACGTCGCTTTTCCGATTCCTCCACCGACATAGCTTGTTCTGTCGAAAACGTTACACTGGATCTGCGCAGATTAATTATGGCTCCATTGGCTTGCAGAAAATCCATTCCTAGTATAAGCTCCCTTGAACAGTCCGGCAGCACGATGAAGTCAGCAACGTAAGTAAAGCCTCTTATTTCGAGCCTTGAGGTGCATCTGCCGAGCGGTGTAATAGTGTGGCCACCTGCCGTGCGTATCTGTGCCCCACTCCATTTTGTTACAACCTTTTTCAGTTTCTTTGCCAATTTGTGACTCATTACCGAATAATCAGCGCCGGTGTCAACTAAAGCATTCAGCTCGTATCCGTCTATTTTCAACCGCAAATCTGAAGTAATCTTTGCACTGCTGCGCTTATCCTCTGTAAACATAGCATCGTCACCTTGAAACCGCAATGGAGGATCTTCGCAACTGTCGTTATCAGCGGCCTCACCTCCACAGGTCGCTTGCTTCAGTTTTCCTGGTGTGGGCTTGTAGAACGGTGCCCAGACCGTGCGGAAGAAGCACGTGGGCTGGGTGATCTGTAACGCCTGGGCGACGGCGATCTTGGCTGATGTTGGCGTGGAGTGAGTGGGCTCTGGCGCGCGGACAAGTACTCTTCGATCTCCGTTGGCCGTTCACCGTTTCGAGGGCATGGTGCGTACAACGGAAAGCCCCTTAATCCTGCCTGTCGGTAAGGGCAGAACCTATACAGGTGACCTGCTTCCACGCAATGGAAACACAAAGGCCTGCGCTCATGGTCACGCCAGATGTCACTTTTCCGGGGCCTTTGATTCACGTAGCGAGCTACACCACGGGCTCGTGGCAGGTAGGTAGCCGTCGGTTCCAGTGGACGAGGTGCGCTGCGTACCGTTTGTGGGCAAGGAGAGGCCATCGTAACTGCTGCATTGGTGTGTGCCGCGGGTTGTCTGAGTACTTCAGAGTACGTTGGTATGCGTTGGATCGGCTGTGGCGCACGCTCCGGCTCACGTATCACCTGCCTCAGTTCATCTCGTACTACGTCTACTACAGACAGTGTTGCTGTAGTGTGAGGTGCTTGCAACTTGCTGAGCTCTTCCCTGATCACCGACCTGATGAGTTCTCGCAGAGCGTCCATGTCACTTCGCTGGCGTCCAGAGAAGACATTAGCAGGCGCATAGTTTATGTCTCGATTGTACTGTCGAGCCCGCTGTTCAAGCGTTTTCTCTATGGCTGTCGCTTCCGTATGAAACTCCGCAACTGTTCGTGGTGGGTTGCGGACGAGAACAGCGAATAGCTCTTGCTTCACCCCACGCATGAGGTGGCGTAGCTTCTTGTCTTCGGTCATATGGGTATCTGCGCACTTAAACAGGCGGATCATGTCCTCGATATACATTGCGACACTTTCGTTGGTCAGCTGGTTCCTGGATTCGAGCGCAGCCTGCGCCTTTTCTTTGCGATCCGCGCTGGCATAAGTCGCCAGAGCTTGTCGCCGAAATTCATCCCAGGTCGTAAAGGAGGTTTCATGGTTTTCATACCACGTCTTTGCGAAGTCCTCCAAAGCAAAGTATACGCGGCGGAGCTTCTCTCTCTCGTCCCAACCGTTCAAACGTGCCACTCTCTCAAAGAGGTTCAGCCAATCTTCTACGTCTTCATACGAGTCGCCATGAAATACTGGTGGCTGGTGAGGCTGATATATCACCACTTGGGCTGGTGTTACATGACTTGTCATGGTGGCGCCGTCCATTGACTGAGTTCCCCTTGGCGTAAAGTGGAGTGGGCTGAATTCTGGTGAATCACCTCGAAGACGGCGACTGGTCCTCCGATGCACAGGTGTCGGCTCCGCAGTATCAACTGGCTGGTGGTCGGGGCTACGCTGTCTTGCGTTCGTAGGGCTTTGATTCATTACCCAGCACGTCCACCAGAAATGTAACGATGTTGAAGGACTCGGGGTATAACAAAACGTATTTATTAAAGGGCGAACCTGTGCCCACAACTCAAAGGGACTATGATCGTAGCACGTTACAGCAGAACGGCAAGATGTCTTCTCCTTCTACTTCTTCAAGAAGAGTCCCAAGCGCGTAGCACACATCAGTAGGGGTCAGCTGGGTTCTCGTGCTATCATCGTCGTCTCTGCGCAACACTAGACGGCGCCCATGTATGTCTCTGTGCGCGTGGTGATGGGCGCGTTGTTTTGAATGCAGGCACTATGTCGTGGCAATATTATCTGTAGGGCAAATAATATATAGATGGTTTCAAGGTCACAAGTTTTTGTACACTAGAAAACATCCGGTCACCTCATTTACCAGCTCCTAACGTCCAAACTCAAAGCACGTTTTCGATTTCGTTTTAAATGGAGAAAAAGTCTCTCTTAAGTTTTTCAGATAAAAGGAACGTGCGTGAAGTTGAAGATCATCTCTTAAAATTTTTATGTAGCACAAAAAATAAAACGTTGATATGAATATATTCTGCCAAATAAACGAAAAAAAGGTTTAAAAAGCTCTCCTTGCCCACCGGTGCTATTTTGGCACATCTGTAAACAAAACCAGATGTCATCAAGGGGCTGTGTTTGTAAACAGTGAAAAGGTCTATGGGACAAATGTGGGCCCACGTGGGTACAGAGGGCGCTACTAGGAAGCCTGCGGAATCTGAGTCATGGAAGCGGAAATGTTGTAGGCCCGTGTGCTCAGATTTGGGTGCAGGTTAAAGAACACCGGGTTGTCGAAATTTCCAGAGCCCTCCACTACGGCGTATCTCATAATCATACGGTGGTTTTGGGACGTTAAACCCACAAATCAATCAATCAAATCGAAGATGAGTTAGCAGCAAGCACGTGCCACTTGTCTATTAGGTACTTGCTCTTTGAAAACGAGTCATGATTTCCAGGTTATTGACGTTCGTGGAAAACTGGGGAAGAAAGAGAAAGAAGTAAAGACAAATAAGAGGCCGTGAGGATAAGCAGGTTGTACCCCGTATGCTACCGTACGCAGTTAGGGGAGTCGAAGAATCGAGAAAGCAAGAAAGTAAAAAAATAAGTAGTACGAGTACAGACTCTAACAGCGTTCACCGAGCACACACGGAAGGTCAGAACCCATCACTGAAAAGTAATAAGATTGGTTTCTCTGGGGCTGTCTAAAAATAGGCTAGGGACGGCTTTCAGCTCTCCCATAGTAGAGTACCGAGTACTCTAATTCGTTAACCACTTCTTCTAAACACACAAGAAATGGGCTAGAATTCAAGCAGATCAAAAATAACTTGCGAGGACTGGCTCCAAGAAATGTACAACTCAAGTCACACCGCCATCCTTTGATGAGCGTAGAGGCAAAGGGACCTTAGTTCAGGTCCCTTCTAACCTTGCCAGATGTTCAGTGAAGCTATATTCATCCATTCTTAGTACTTTAGTGGGTGCTATAATGCCACCACCATATATTGCCACGTTCCTTTCCTCAAGTTTTGTTATCACCCCGTTACACTACGTTCAGCGCAAACCGTGTCTACGATGTTTAAAAAGCTTCGAGGCTGTAGTAGATCGTTTTGTTAAGATTACGCCAACTTCTTGATTATTACAGTTTATTCTGGAACCTACGGCACCGCTATAGCAATAACGCTAGAACATTTCATGGCAAGTGTATAAATACCGACGCGCTTCGCCGCTTGTCAGTTGATCGATGGCCGACGCTCTGCTCGTCGCTATCAGTGCCAGTAGGGAGCTTTAGAATACTGTTTGCAAGCGCTGCGGGCGTTGCGGGCGCCATATGAGTTTTAGATTAGCGTTTGCCTTACTGCAATCTGCAACGCACGATCGTGGCGACACCGTAGCCTCGAAACCAGCGCTTGCGGGCCACATGCGGGCCGCCATCACCGCACGCAATTTCAGATTTTTTTTGCGTGCGGTCCGCGAACGCCGACTCGCGTTACGACGCATGCGCAGTGGCAGTGACCGCACCGCACCGCAAGGGCTAGTGGTGTGCTATTTGAAGTGAGTGTCTTGCCGTAATCCAACTTTCCTTTTACGTGGCCACAAGTTAGGCCCGAATAAACAGTTTATTATCCGACCATCCAGTCTCCTGCCTTCAGCCACGTTCCAACCCCCGTGACATAATGGTCAATTTCATGCCAATTAAAGTGTACCAGCACGCCCAGTAATCACACATAGCTTCATTGTGCATTTCCGCATTGGTCACACATTATGTACGACAATTTTCAGAAGTATTTTTTTTTATTAAAGAGTCCTTGTTGCCTGGTTCCGAACTGCTACATGCAACATGAGAACGCAGAACACAACGTTGTAAAATGGAACTCACTATAATACAGTTATGATACATGTTCTCATAAAAAAAAACACTGTACAGATTTGATCATGCAAAAGGCAGTCGCCTGGGAACAAAAAATTCCTATAATCGCACTCACATGGTAAACTAAGGCAGCCTGCCATCGCATCACCCTAAGCTCCTTCACAAGTGGCATCTTTTTCACTTTTTCTGGTCTCTTTAAACATTTCAGCAACCAAAACATGTTTAGAATTTTAATACACACACAGCATATACGCTTGAGTCATCCGGCCTCGATGACTTTAACACGAGAACAGTGAGTCATAGTTTTTGATTGAGAGGTGCGATACACGGTAAACGTTGTGCGAGTCAATAAAAGAAGACGCCGTTGAAGCTGCCAGCCCCACTCAGAGGGCAACATAAAGACGCAATAGAAAGACTATATTCATTGAACCAGATTACCATAAATAAAATGTCTAGAATGGAGCCCGTATTCCACTAGCTGTTTAATTTCACAAGACGGTCGTTCCTCCGCTGTTCAGAGGTCGAAAAAAAGAGAAAAAAAAGAGAAAGAAATGAGCCGATTGTCTGGCGCGCTACTCTTCATTAGGAAAGAGGAGGGAGTGGGAAAAAAGAGAAAGAAGGAGTTGATGGTGAAGTGGAAAGTGGTGATGAAGCAATGTCTTGGCAGTTCAAAATAAATTTATAGTCCCTTTTCGAGTTCTATCTCACGTAAAAACTTGTTCAGTGCTTTCAGAATATCGCGCTGATAAAAAAACGTCTCAAATGAGCAAGAAAAAAAAGGTGTATCTATGAATGCGAACGCGCACGTGAGCAACACGGTGGCGCTGATAGCCAGGTGGTGCACCGAGTTCTCGTCAGGCATCGTGACATCACAGGCGGGCAGCAGCTTGATGTACTGGCACTACAAAAGTATAGCTACGATGCGGCCTTTTGATTACTGCGGATAAACGACAGCCGCTTGTAATGCACTGATAACATTCGAGTGATGTCGCTAGCCTAGCTCCCCTCCCCCCGTGTGGATACTACAACATAGGGATTCAGCAGCGTCGGTGCAGTCCATTGCTGTAACGAGCAAAAGGATTAACAGACCACGCATTCGTTTTGACTGAGTGTCACGTGACAAGGGCAGCATTTTGCGGTTTTGTCGCACAACTGAGTTTCTACCTGTGTCTACAAGCGGCGATCGCTTTCAACCGTCGTGTACGCAATGAACTACAGCGAAACTACCCAGCCAAGGACGAGCATATATGTATCAGTGTATGGTTTGCTATACGATGATGGAGTGCGGGCAGCCACACGACAGTCACATGGAAGGACGCCGACCAGGTGAGTGCTTGTGGGTTGCTCTTTCAAGAAAAGCGTGTAATTCTGTTCACCTTGAACGAACAGAGAGTCACAGTAAAAGGTTCGCATGTCACAGAGTTTGGGCGATTTGTCAGGATAACCTGGCCGGGCGTCCACGATCCTGCTCGCAGTAGGGTACAACTTCACAGACATTTAGGCGTACCATTCGCCCGTATGGAATTCGTGGTAATGTACACTGGGGGGCCACTCTATCTAGGCCACACGAGAAGAGACAGCTTTAAATATGTCGACGTTTAAGCACATTTGCGACTTGGGCGCGTGTTCCTCTACCGTGAACACTGAACACCAAGCTGCGGTCCGCATTCGCCGACTGACGGTCACTGAAGCAGCAGCCGTAGATAGTGGTCCGTGTCCAAGATCGTCTAAGAAGGCAGACTTCACACTGTCCGAACGAGATGTCCGAATCTCGACAACACGACCGCTTGCGCACAGCACTGTAGCATCGCTTTGTGGTCACGTGTTTGTACGCAGCATGAACGAGCGCGCACTGTCCCTTGACAGCGATCGCGCACGACTGAACTGCGACAGAGTGCGATGCGTAAGGGCCTCGCAGTCCCCGTAGCTCTTCCTCGTTGGTCTTAACGCTACGTGCACTCGGTATCCACGGGTGCCACCGCAACGCTCTCTGTTTGCGTCACCTGTAGCGTTTGTCGCACGCTTCAGGCCGGCCCACGCAACGTGTAGTCAGAGGCACGTCCCCACCGCGTCGGAATGATCGTCCGCCACCGGATCAGCCTGCGTGGAATGCGAAACAAAGACGTTACACTATATCGGGGGCCCTTGGCGGCACACGGCTTTTCCGTGATGATGATAGACAATGCATTTATCTGTCGACATTCGATCGCCAGCACAACAAGAAAAAGTTCTACCCCCGAACGTCGAGTATCGTTCGAATACACAGAATCTGAATTTCTATTCGTGCCGTGAGGGGATAAGTGTTTCTGTAACAAATATTTTTTTCGTGTTTCTCCTACGCACGTTTCTGTTAAAATATATTTTTTTTTCACTCCTGTAATAGCCCTACGAAAAGGGCTGACAGTATCAATAAATGAATGAATGAAACGAATAAGTTGCTGGCCGCATCCGCGCCTCTATAGCTTGCCATATCGGTAAATATTACAGCTCAGAATAAGAACTAAGAGAAATAAGAATGCTTCGTGCTCGACCCAAGTGCGGCGGTTGCCGTTTACAGTCACCGGCCCCTTGGTGCTGCCCGTCGGTGATCAGAAAGGTAGCATGGCTAAATAAGCCAAAAGGCTGGATGGTTCTCTGCATACTGCCGGCAACAAGCGTAACACGAGTTTCTCTACTCGGGACCCGTATGAAATGCGGAACACGGCTAAACATTTGCAACTCACACGGCACAGTGCCACATCAAACACTGACTGTGCACTCACTGTGAAGCAGCCTGACACATCAGCGCTGTGTACTCTAGTTAAGAAGTTAGGACACTTACAGTCAATTCACACTCTGTGTAACCGGTTTTGCTAGAGAGCGTACGGCTGATGACTCCCCCGACAGCCCAGCAGTCAGTACTTATATATCATATTGTCTCTGTGGGATTCTGAAAATGCGCTGTGTACCCTCCTTGAACATAGGCTCATCAACTTACCCAAGCAACTAAATCACTAGGTATGAGGAAAGTGCTTCGCGCTATGTTCATACTCGAGGAAGTGAACGTCGCATCATACGGGCTACACGCACCCTTGATCGAGTTCCGTGGTGATCTCCTCGAGCGTCTTGTGCTTGGTCTCCGGCACGCACAGGAATATGAAGCACAGTGCCAGCATGCACACACCAGAGTACATCAGTAGTGTGTCACCAACGCCAAGGTTGTCTGTAACAACAGTAAAATAGGATTATATGCTTTGCCCTTCTCTTCGCTTACGCTTCGAGAGCATGGCCCAGCGTTTCGAGGAGGCGTTGGAAATCAGCGTTTGTCACCAATTCTATCTGCAACGACAGCTCTTCGCTTCCGAAAGGATACAAAATCGACTCACTCACTCACTCACTCACTCACTCAATCACTCACTCACTCCCAGCTTTGTCAGAGTATGAGAAACTTCCGTGGTGCTCTGATAACTATACGGTGCTAGGCTTTTGGGATTTGGTTTATTTCATAGCGTCGATACATTAGTAGCAAAGAGAATAAAAACAAACAAACAAACAATAATTGAGGTCCCATATTGTATACTGAAGGTCGTGGGATCGAACTGCGTCCGTGGAAGCCACATTTCGATAAAGGCACAAGGGTAGAGGCGCGTTAAATAAGCCCAGGTGGCCGGCTATTCCGGATTCTGATTCCGGATGAATAATCCTTTGATTGGGAAAACATTTCCATCATTAACTAATAATAATAATAATAATAATAATAATAATAATAATAATAATAATAATAATAATAATAATAATAATAATAATAATAATAATAATAATAATAATAATTTCTTAGACAGGGGCTGTGTGCTCTATAGTTGGCGTTTCGGCAAATGTTTATGTATTCTTTCATCGCAGGCTTCCAATCGTTTTTTGGATGACCGAGAAAGGTAGGGAGCTTACCATGTGTGGCCGACAGCCCGCTTACAAAAAAAAAAATAAAACAAAACAGCAAATATTTAGCAACGTGTACGTTCTTCTTACCCAGCACTGTGAGGAATGAGGCTGACACACTCATGTTGGCCGCCCAGTTTGCGGAGGTTGCCACCGATATGGCACGGCCTCTGACGGCTGCCGGGAAGATCTCGCTGAGTATTAGCCAGGTAGCTGCGTGGAATGAAGGGCAACAATGTTGAAGACTTTCGGCGACATTAGGCTAGTTGTTTCAACAATGCTTGCGTGGTTTAAAAAGCGCAGTAAAGTGGAGTCTGCACAGCTGTTTGCGATATCGTTAGTTATGCAAGGTATACGCATTTTAGGTTACTTCAATTTGCTCTTCTGTCAGTGTAACATGGCTCCCTATGGCAGAATTTTTTGTGCATAGTGGAGCACTTGCGAAGTTCGCCTTTTTTAGGCCATCTGGCAAACGGAGTCGTGAGTTGTTTACTGAGGCTAAAGCTTTGGGTAGCTGATTGTTTATGTGTCCAGACAGAACGCAACGCTATATGCGGGAGCACGGATGTGTTTTGTGTGCCTGTTCTGTGTCCCTGCATACTGAGCTGTTTCAAGAATGTAGAAGTCGCGTACTACAAGACAATGCGAACCACCTAGGGGTTTGCTGAAGCAGCCGTCAGTGCCATCCGCTGTTGTATAATCTGGTGCCATCCATGGGCCTTTGTTTTGGTGAACGCGCAGTTTTTGTTGTGCACGCAGGTATATGTCAGGTTACAGCTTTTTCCAAAGCCCTCGTATGTCATCGCAGTGTTGACGCAAAAAAAAAAACATGTTAATGGCAGCCACCACCGTCACTGTTTTGTGCAAGGAGCGTTGGAAGTGTTCGCGTCTTTGAGTTTGCTACAACATGCGCTTTGGCCACGATCATAACGACTTCTGAGCCACTGGCAGAAGCAATAGATGGACAAGCCTGATAGCACAACAAGTTGAGTATATGCCCGGGTAAGTAAGAATCTCGATAGTGTAGCAGTACAGCCAAGCTTGCATAGTGGCACGCTAGTAGAAGCAGTAGATGGCATTTCAGCCCACTCACGCAAGGTACTCATATGAGTTGTAGCCACCTGTAGTTAGTTCTGAAAGCTGCAAGCTTTAACCGACCTATTTTCTTGGCTTTTTTTTTAGAAGGACCTAACATACGTTTTTATGACTTAAGATTTTTGTCTGTGTTAGCGCGTGTGTTGTGTGGGCGCGGGCTAACGTGCAGAATACAACAAACGCGTGCATCCCTCTGTCTCAGTGTTGTTGTTTTAGTTCCGTTTGCGCGATTCAGTCAGCACCAAAACAAACCTCGGAAACTGAAAGTGTCCAGAGCCCTTTCCGCTGGCAAGTTCCTCAAATTAGAAAGATACTTACTCGTTCCAAAGCTGACTCCGTAGGCGAACACGTAGCACATGAGGGCGGCCAGCGTAAGCGCCCTCTGGAAAGCCGAGCCTTGAGGTACACCGGAACACTGAGAGTCTCGCGCCGCGGCCACTAGGGAGTCGCGTTCTCCGACGCGCCTTTCGGTCACCTCCACGCGACGACTCTCGCCACCAGCTGCCGCGTGCGACGGCGCCGAGGCTTCCATTTCTCCTACGTTGCGCAGATGCGATGACGAAGCAGCGGCAGTTTCAGGCATGTACGATAGCTTCCCACCTCTAACATCGTCCGATATGTAGGAGCTTGCGACCAAGTACGGCTCAGCCGTCGATAACGCCTTAGTCCCAGTCGAGTTTACCAGCAGTTCGATCAGAGGCTCTTCACCGGCATCGTCTCCGTTGTCTGGGCGCTGCATCTCTAGCGACTGGTTTTCGCCCACGGTTCCTTCGTCTCTTCGAAGATCCATATTTTCTCGGCTCTCGTCAGACTGGGGACTAAACTTAGCGGCGTGTTCGGCATGGTCGAAACCCCAGGACGGTGAAGGTGCCACGACTTCGCGAGGGCTGCCCGAAGGTCGTCCCGGAGTGTAGCCAACATCCATCAGTCCAGCTCCGCTTGAGGCCATCTGGTCGGGCATCGGAGGAGGCATTGAAAGCCCAGGCGACGAATCTAAACCGGTTGAGTCTGAGGAAAATGCGCCGCTCTCCCTTTTGTGCCGCTGGTTCGTAGAGGAAGGCACGTTGGAGTTCACGAGCACCATCGGGGCTGGGACATGAGTCGTCATCACCTCTGGGTCGTAGCCAGGGGGAGTCATATGGGAATAATGAATCGCGGAGGCGTTGAAGACGCTAGGCCTGTCTCGGCAGCGTAGTGAGATGCTGTGTCCCGAACTCCCGTAGGAAAACTTGGCGAGCATTCCCAGGGCGAAGATGCTTATGGCCATGAGGAGCACTCCGGTGCAGAGGCAGACCCGACGGCCCAGGCGGTCCAAGACCAGAAGGGCGAAGAGCGCTGCACCAACCTGTGGGGTAAATTAATACCGAATATAGTAGTTATCCCAACGTAAAGTATGGTAGCGTTTATGCAATGAAATGTTGAGGTACTGAACCCGAACGTTTTTCTAAACACCATTCTCTAAGACGTGTCCGTTGAGCCTGACGTGCTGGAAGTTTTAAGCAACAAGTTTTCGTCCTGGTTTGGCACGTAGTTTAAAGAATCAGTCACATGAACGTTACGCTATTCACGTTTCCTGCGTCCATATAACTCCGGGAGTGTATGGACTCACATTATACAATGGGCTGCAAAGAGCATTCTTCTTTTTTCACAAATGAGCACAAAGGACGCTCAAAAGTATCGTGGCCTGCAACAAGAAATAAGTACGCCAACAAACACGTTTCGCTTTTGTAATTACTAAGTATACGGATACTTTCGCATCTGTTCATTGAATTAACAAGATCATCTATCATTTCTTTTTCAACTCGTTAGTGAAGCTCGATGGCCTAAAGTCTAACAGTTACTTTAGGGCACCTCGTCGTTTCGAAGTTGGTATGATACACTCTCTTAGGAAATGCACCTTTACTGCATAGAAGTACGCTTCCGTCAATCGGCGAAGGCTTCCCAGCTTCTTCGGCTTATGTCTGGTTTCTGGGTGCTTGGCGGATGCTTTTTCTCATTTCTTTTTCTCGTATATCACGTGATGTATGCTATTACTTGAGTTATGAACCGGATTCACTGGTTACCTGCCAGTGACGGTCCAGAACGAACCAACGCCATCGCGAAACCCGAAGGATTGGTTATGAATTCACCGCAGTGGTGTAGTGGTCAGAGTGCCCGGTTGCTGACCCGGAGGTCGCACGACCTAATCCCAGCCGCGGCGGTTGCACTTCGATGATAGTGAAGTGCTCGAGCCCCATGTGCTGTGCTCGCGAGACGGTCAAAATTTCTGGAGTTCTCCACTATTTGCTGCATGTCGTATCATATCATAAAGTTTAGCAGGTAAAACCACACACATTATTACTTAGGACTGCCTGCTCTATCATCCAGCTTACTCAAACAGATTGGCTTATACATAGGTGTATTGGCGACACACTGCGAGCTTTCCCATCAGGACAGCCGTCACGTCATTAAGGGAAGGCTGCTCTGCACGAGGGTTGTTAATTGGTTATCAGTTTGTTCTGTTCATATGGTGAAATGTCATGACGATAAGTGTTTTGTTTCTTCATAGTCTGTAATTAAATTACCAAGAATGGAGGACAAGTTGGATTCCGCCTACCTTGACGGCTCCAAGACCCACGGAAGCGAGGGTGGCAGCGACGTTGGTGCAAAGCCGAGATGCTTGAGTAGAGTAGGGGCGTAGTAGATGACGTTTGTTTGTCCAGTGCACTGCAACCAACGCATACCACTAAGCCTTAAATACGTTTCACCAGCCACATGAGATCAATGAACAACTTACAAAGATGGTTCTTGCATGGTCTCTGCGGGATCAGATTAGCAGAGTTTTATTTACAATTAACAATTAATTTCACTTCATTGTATTTTGTTAGGTCAGCTATGGGTACATGTGTTGTTTATCATATCTATACAGCAATTATAAGGATACGCGAGGTGCATTTTTGCCGGCGCCATCATGCTGCGTATGAAGTTCCCGTTAATTACAAAGTTCCCCTCACGTTGTATGTTCCAAGTACGAATGAAACGTTGCGGCGGCTGCAGAGGGGCGCGACTCATGCAGAGTTGATACTAAGTGGTCGCCTCCTTTTGGAGAAGAATCTTGAAAGAGTGGTGGTCGGTGCCCTGCGTTGCTCTGATAGCGATTGCGTACATTGAACAAGAGGGCGCGGTCGCGTACTATCCCGACAGCCATCAGTAGACGGCTGCTACCCCGGTACGAGCTATTATTCTCCTGATTACATCGCTGAAACGGAAGATAACGCGAAAACCATTTCGTTCCCTGGATCGACCCTATTCTCTTGCGCCAGCGTTTCGAACAGTCATGCGAGAGCGGATCTCCAAGGACTTCACTGCTAGACTTACTTCGTATAACATTCCATATTGTTTCTGTTGTATTCACCGCTTCGCCCTAGCGCCCTGCCGCGGTGGTTTAGAGGCTAAGGTACTCGGCTGCTGACCCGCAGGTCGAGGGATCGAATCCCGGCTGTGGTGGCCGCATTTTCGATGGAGGCAAAAACACTATAGGACCGTGTGCTCAGATTTGGGTGCATGTTAAAGAACCCCAGGTGGTCAAAATTTCCGTAGCACTTCACTACGGCGTATCTCATAATCATATGCTGGCTTTAGGACGTTAAACCCCATATATCAATCGCTTTGCCCTAGCGGCGAAACTTGCTTCTTTTTTCAGCCCCTACAAACAGGATATTATTTAACGAAGAAATAAAAGGTAGGCTATCCAGATGACTGACAGAATGCTAGCACACTCTCCCACCTAAACGATCTTCCTCTCGCTACAATGTAGCCTACCTTAATCGCAACGGCCGCACAATATGCCAAATTAGGTAACGTTTCGCTCTTGATACTGTACATGTTTGTCAACGTACATGCCTTGTGCGTAAGAGAGATTCGTGATGTTAAAACACCGACCTGTTGCAGAATGACGAGACCGACGCCCACCATCATCCTCCCTCTCAGCCCAGGCGTGAAGAGGTCTCGATAGCGGTAATTCTGGGAAGAAAAAGAAAGCATTCACTAAATGCTTTACCGGTCTGTCATTACAAGACTTAAACAGGACTAAGTGAAAGCTCGATATGTATACACTTAAGCCGGGAAATGACTGCAATGCATTAACCTTAGTAATAGAAAACAAGTTTGTTTTTATTCTCTTTCGGTCCTGTGTAATCGAAATGGTTCATTCATGCCCTCTATCATTTTGCTTTCTTTCATAACTCCCACATTTATATTTCTTACGCAAAAAATCCGGCACCGTTTAATGACCAGCGTACCTTGAAGGTGCGCTGGTCCATTATATTTTTATGCACGGTTTCCAAATAACTGACCCTCTCCCGATAGTGAGCTTGTCGGCGACTAGCCATTTATTGTATGATAATTTGATATTCTATCGCGGTCGCTGGTCGTTACACATCACCACTTCTCATTGTTGCTTGAATATGGACGCGTGGCCTGCGCCATGCGTTCATATTCGCAAGGCGTGCACAGGCCACGCGCATGCGCAGGCCATGACCTGCGCCAGCGGCTGCCCCAGAACGCGAATCATGAGGCACCTTGCCACCTGCGTGGGCACGCCCTCACGCCATGCCCGCAACGTACCATAGTCATTTTGCTTCCGCCTGGGATAGAAAGAAAGACGGAAAGAATGACAGAAAGGAAGAAAGAAAGAAAGAAAGAAAAGTTGTAAGCCAGGCCCACACTCATGGTTAATGTTTGGCTATGAAAACCGTTCGGCTACGAAGATTTCCTGTTGGCGCCATGGTTATTTACTGGTCACTTTTATATGTCTGGTTTAACATATTCAAAATGGTTTTATTTATTCATCAAAGTAAACACGATGTTCTTAATACCACTCCTGCAGTGTTGTATTTGGCCACCGATTTGGCGGCAGTTTTTAATGATATGTCTACTTTGGCTACATATGGTTTGAGTTCTGGCACCTTCTCAATTCCACTCAATGGGAAACCTGTCCACAAATGCCAAAATACGCGAACTCCCATTTTGCCGACATGGCAACGTCTTTAATTTTTTTCGGTTTCTGTGTTTGTATGGTGCATACTTGTTAAGGAATCACACAGTTAATAAGCACTAACCTGTTCTTCCAGCAGCGATTTCTGCATGCGATTGAGCTCCTGCGAAGCCGCGGTCTCGCCATGGATAACGTTGAGTACTTTCCGAGCCTGTACAAACAAATTAGAACACTAAGAACAAACTGAGTGCGAAGATACAGGATTATAATGAAGCACACGGCCCCCCTCCTGCTGGTAAAAAGGTGTCTTATAGTGAAGAAAAGTGACTGTTTCAGTAAGTATGACCTCGAAGTCAGTGTACACACAAAGTCAGACGGGTTGGTTTTGATACCCTGGGAATCTTTGTTGGGGAGAAACTCGTATCAGCTTCACCTTCTAGTGTTTGCCTCTGCCTACATTCGAAACCCTACGACACACATAATTGACGGCAAGTTCACTTTGTTTGAATACGCGTTGCCGAGAAGAGGAATGGTGGAGAAAGAAAGGCAGGGAGGCTAACCAGCGAGGACTACCACTTTGCTACTCTACACATGGAAACATGATTAGTGAGATTGAAGTAATAAGAAGTGAAGATTTACACCACCGGACCCATGCATACTTTCAAGGTTTCAATTAGTTATATGCACCTAAAGCACCAGCAAACTTCGGTCTCAAGAACTAGAGCAAAATGTTTCTTTGCTAATCAATGCGCATATCATCGTTCACTTGTTCAGTAGGTTCTAGCACGTATTCTGACACATCTTCAGTTTCCCCCATGTCCCTCCATGAAATCCTATCTTGGTATTTATAATAAGTGCTACAACATATTGTAGTAGACGAGCGAGACCGAGAAAAGATTGCCTTATAGTTACACCAGACGACCTCTTCGAGGTTGAAGTCATGCTCTTCGGTCTTTGCTCGGTGCCTGCGACGTTCCAAAGTGTTATGGACACCGTGCTGGATGGATTGAAGCGTGCGACTTGCCTCGTGTACTTGGACGATGTCGTCGTGTTTTCCTCAAGCTTCGACGAGCATCTCCGGCGCCTTGAAGCTGTACTTCACGAAATCAAGACCACCGTACTCCCTCTGAAGCCTGAAAAGTGCCGCTTTGCATACGAAGAATTCCGCTTTTCGACGAAAACGCCGACACAGAAATCTACATCCACGCAAGCAGTGTAGGGCTCGGAGCCGTACTGGTGCAGAAGATTAACGGCCCTGAAAGGGTCATCTATTATGCGAGCCGGTCACTATCTAAGGCGGAAGTTAACTATTTCACAACAGAAAAGGAGTGTCTTGCCGTCATTTGGGCTACCTCGAAGTTTTGCCCTTACCTCTACAGCAAGCCTTTCATAGTTGCGAGCGACTACCACGCCATCTGTGGGATAGTTAATTTAAAGTACCCTTCAGGTCACCTCGCATGGTGGAGCCTGTGACTTCAGGAATTCGACGTCAGCATCGTTTACAGGTAGGGGCGAAGACACTGACGATGACTTTCTGTCCCGCGCCCCCGTTGACCCACCACCGCAGGACGAGGATGGCGACAGCTTCTTGAAAACCTCAAGTGTCGATGACTTTGCAGAACGACAGCGAGTCAACCCGAAAATCAAAGGACCTTGTGGAATACCTCGAGAGCAAGGCTGCCGTTGTTCCCAAAATATTCAAGCGAGGCTTGGTGTCGTTTTTCTTGCCTAACGGAATCCTCGTCAATAACTTCTCGCCACATTGGGACAACTACCTGATAGTAGTACCTTCGGCATTACGTCCAGAAGTTCTGGATGCTTTGCCTGACGACCCAACAGCTGGACACGTTGGATTTCCCGCACGCTAGCGCGGGTACAAGAAAAGTACTAGTGGCCCCGCCTCACTGCCGACGTCACCCGCTACATAAAAACTTGCAGAGACTGCCAGAGAGGAAAGGCCACTAACTAGGCCAGCTGGACTTCTGCAGCCCGTTGAGCCACCTTGCTGGTTGTTACAGCGAATCGGCATAGACCTACTGGTACTGTTCTTGACGTCGAACTCCGGAAACTAATGGAACGTCGTAGCTACTGACTACCCCACGCACTACGCCAAGACAAAGGTACTGCCAAAAGGCAGCTAGTGCCACCGAGGTAGCAAAGTACTTCGTCGAGAACGTCGTCGTGCGTCACGGTGCCCCAGGGGTGTTCACTATCGACACATGTACGGCTTTCACTACGAACCTAACTCAAACTATGCTGAAGTACACCCAGAAAAATCACTGCCGAACAACTGTCTACAGACCACAGACCAATGGCCTCAGCGTCTAAGCAAGACCATCGCCGACATGTGCCATGCACGTCGACGCCTAACACAGGACATGGGATACCATCCTTCCGTACGTGATCTTCGCATACAACACGGCGGTGCAGGAGACGAGGAAGATGTCGCTATACAAGTAAGTCTACGGAAGGAACCCGTCCACGTCGCTCGACGCCATGCTGCTCAATATCGCTGACGAAGAAAACCTCGCCGTGACTGCCTACCCTCAGCACGCCGAAGAAGCACGACAACTCGCCCGCCTGCGCATCAAGAACCAAAAGATGATCGTCAGCCATCGTTACAATCTTCGACGATGCTTCGCGAAATAACGACCCGGTGACCGTGTTTGGGTGTGGACGCTGCTACGCCGAGGTGGACTGAGCGAAAAACTTCCGCGAGAGTACTTCGGACCGTACAGAGTAGTTCGTCGTCTCGGCCTACCCGACTACGAGGTTGTACCCGACGGCTTCACGAACTTTCAATGGCGCTTTCTTACTTGATCGTTGTTACTTTTATTGTTCCCCCGTCTTCCATTTTAAGCATCGGTATGATGCTTTTTCCGAGGGGACATTGCCACGCGCGTTTCTTATTTTCACTTATGTTTGAATCAATTTTCGCCCACAAAGCCAGGGCGAGCAATGTGCAGCGCAAACTGCACATGACTGTTCGAGAAGGTTCATGATCATTGCATATTGTTCTGTTGCGATTGTCTATAAGGCGTGAACACTCGAGATTATTTCAGATCTTGCGCGAAGACCAGTGGTTAGACTGGAACATTCGACGACACGTGTATAAATGGCGCCACGCTTCGCCGCTTGTCACTTGATCGACGGTCGACGCTCTGTTCGTCGCTATCTGTGCCAGTGTGTATCGTTGTAATCTGACTTCCTGTTTACTGGCCACAAGTTCGACCATAGATTCCCTACATAAAATGCTAGTATTCATCGTGCATGGATTTAGTATCTATTGATCTAGACGTAAAAGCTCTAGCAGCATAAAAATAGGGATTAGTGTACGAATATTAGCCTCCCCTACGCACTCCTTGCCTCAATCAGCGTTTTGGCATAATATTGCGTTACATAAGCACTAATGCGTGCAGTTATTGCGTGATTGTGCAAAAGAGCGGTATTTTGGCGCCCATGTTATTTTTTCTCATGCCTTGAGAAACATACTTTGCCGAGATACACAGAATAACCAGCCTAACCAAGGAGGTTAATAGTATAGGAGTAATACTTTTCGAGTGTTAGGCCTTACCTCATCATGACGTCCCTTGAGCACGAGGAAGTGTGGGCTTTGCGGCAGGAACAGTGTCCCCAGCATTTCCAGCAAGGCCGGGCACGTAGCGACGGCAAACATGAGCTGCCTTCGAGAGGAACATCGGGGACATTCATTTAGTACGGTGGTCATACACACAACTACAGTTTTACGTGCTATAATTTTTTAGGGGGGGGGGGGCAAGGGCACAAGGGTAGTTGCACTTTCTAGCAGAACCTCGAAGAACAACCTACATATACTGACTGAGCGGGCAATCGAAAATCGACAGAAAATGGTGTATGGCAGCTGCGGATGTGTGTACATGTAATGAAAATAAATATTTTGGCTTTAGGGGGATGGAAGTAAACATATTTAAATCCCCAATACGTCTTTGTTCTACATCACTGGTGCAACCAGACCCACCATGGTGATTTAATGGTTATGTTGCTTGACGGCTGACCCGAAGGTATCGCAATGGAATCCCACTCACAGCGGCATTTCGATGGAGCCGAGGCCCGTATACATAGGTAAAAAAAAATAGCAGATTGTGAAAATGTCTTCGTTTCTGGACTATGGCCCCCCTCACAACCATATCGTGGTTTTGGGACGTCAAACCCCAATAACGATTACGCGTGTAAACAGCAATAGGGGGCTGGGTGATAATAGGTTCAGTTGAACATCTGTGCATTGAGAACTCTTTATCCTCAAGGACCGATAGTTAGTCGTACGAACCAGCCATTCTCGTAGGAGATGAAGGAGTAGTTGACCGTGTAGGCCAATAAGAAGCCGATGGTGATGCCTACTTCGTTCAGGGACATCAGCAGGCCACGATGCACCTACGATCATTAGAAACAATGTTCATCTGCTGGGTTCGACCATTAATCGAAACACACCAGAACACTTTGTTATAATAGCAGTCAAATGATGCAATATGTCAAGAATAACTTTAAAAGCTGATGGCACGAAATACTTTGTATGTCAAAAACACCTAGTTTATTATATGTAAAATTTGAAAAAACAAAAGCTTCCGCAAACAATTTCGATGCTCAAATAATGAGTGCAATCATCGCGTTAGTAACACAAGAGCTGTTGTTTCATTTTACCTAAACCGAAAAGAAAAAAAATGGCAGCATATCCACGGAGTGAATGATGGGGAGTGGGGCGAAGCATTCGTCCGTGCATTCGTTATTGCTTCCGTCCGTTCCTGCGTACGTCTGTGTAACCGTCCATGGGTCCATCCACCCGTCCGTGCATGCGTCTGTTCGTGCGTCCGTCCTTGCGTTCGTCCATGCATGCGCGCCTGCGTCCGTTCATGCGTCCATCCATGCATCTGTCTGTGAGTCCGTTCGTCCATCTATTCAGCACTCCAAGTACCACCATCTCGCATCTTTTTATCATATATTCTCCATATAGAAGCACCGCCATCCAGCGGATATTTCAAGGACTAAACGGGAGGTGGCACATGCGCACTTTCTTACGGCTTCCGCTTCGGGTTTACTTCCCACCTTTAACCTCAAGGTAGATGCCAATAGCTGATAATGGGAATCGCAGCGTGCGCGTCACCTAAATACCGAGTGCTCCTGTCTCTCATTCCCCCTTAGCAGCCAATAACATGTGCATTGAGCACTATCTTTTATTGTTCAACAACGCACAGAAGAAATCTCTCACCGGAACCACCTTGGAGGTCAAAATCGTAAGGACCGCTATTTCGGGTATGTGCAAGTGGTGGTTACGTACTACGAGGGATGCACAAGCCACGCCATGAGGAGCTTCGCCCCTAAAATGGAGGCGACTACAGTTTTTGACCCAACTATCTGGTAGCGGCTCTCGCACCTCTATGTCCATGCTCCGTGATATATTCCTTGGCTTAACTTTCTGCTTCGTCGTACTTTTAGGGCTCTAACTAACACGGAGACAAAGGAAGTAGTGTACACACACACTGGCGCTACTGGCAACGATAAGCTTATTCCCATCCCGAACGCGGCAGTCTCACATAGATGTCGGCAAAATAGTTGAAACCCATGTACTATGCAATGGAAGTGCACGTTAAAGAACACCAGATGATCGAAATTTCTGAAGCCCTCCTCTACGGTATCTCTCATAATACCATCGTGATTTGCAGACGTAAAACCTCATCAATTATAATTATATAGGCTTATTCTCGTCTCCAAGCCGACAAGTAAATGTGTTTTGCTCACGGCGGTGACGTGAGGAGAACTGCACAGTAAAAAATAAAAAAAAACATTTTATTTTTCTTTTTACGAGCGACACAGCAGAAGTGCAGTGGGCATACGCAACTGACGAACAAGCTTCAACGCAGCATGGACAGAAAATTCAGTTCTTTTGATCTCGAAGACAGCGAGGGTTCGCTGACTCATGTGTCGCCGAAATAATCTATTTGTACAGATTTAATTGCTTTTATGGTGATTTCGGACTTATTCTTACTCACTGCTCGTTATAGGAATCGGTCTTAACATGAAAGTGAAACCTGTTTCTGTTGGAGAAGATGCGCTTTCGTTGAAAGCTAAGAAATCCGTCCCAGCCTGCTTATGGCCCTTGTGAGACGTTTTCAAAATATCTGCAGTTCACCATTTCCTATGCGAGCTGATTCTTTCAGATTCATGCGATCTAATTAATCTCGTCATTCCATCTAAGTCCCTGCCTTCCACAACCTGCATTGCCGTTCCTTGGTAACAATTCTGTGTCTCTTGGTGTCAACCGGTTTTCGGTACTTCACGTTCCATGGTTAGCCCAGGTTCATTTCTTTCATTTGAAGGCAACTGCGATACTTGAAACCCACGTGGTTTATTCCGTGCCTGATTATTCCGTCCCTGATCTAGTAATGTCAATCGTAAATTTTTTTTCGATTGCTTGCTGCAAAAAGGAACCCTCTGCAGCACCACACGGACCACAGATTAGCGGAGGAAGAATTTCATTCCTTTCTAAAAAAAAAGCCACAACTGGTATGACCGATTCAGGGCTGTCCATAAGGCTTGGTCTTCCTGTTCCGACGTAGAATATCTATCTATCTATCTATCTATCTATCTATCTATCTATCTATCTATCTATCTATCTATCTATCTATCTATCTATCTATCTATCTATCTATCTATCTATCTATATATCTATCTATCTATCTATCTGATCTGTCTGTCTGTCTGTCTGTCTGTCTGTCTGTCTGTCTGTCTGTCTGTCTGTCTGTCTGTGTCTGTCTGTCTGTCTGTCTGTCTGTCTGTCTGTCTGTCTGTCTGTCTGTCTGTCTGTCTGTCTGTCTGTCTGTCTGTCTGTCTGTCTGTCTGTCTGTCTGTCTGTCTGTCTGTCTGTCTGTCTGTCTGTCTGTCTGTCTGTCTGTCTGTCTGTCTGTCTGTCTGTCTGTCTGTCTGTCTGTCTGTCTGTCTGTCTGTCTGTCTGTCTGTCTGTCTGTCTGTCTGTCTGTCTGTCTGTCTGTCTGTCTGTCTGTCTGTCTGTCTGTCTGTCTGTCTGTCTGTCTGTCTGTCTGTCTGTCTGTCTGTCTGTCTGTCTGTCTGTCTGTCTGTCTGTCTGTCTGTCTGTCTGTCTGTCTGTCGTCTGTCTGTCTGTCTGTCTGTCTGTCTGTCTGTCTGTCTGTCTGTCTGTCTGTCTGTCTGTCTGTCTGTCTGTCTGTCTGTCTGTCTGTCTGTCTGTCTGTCTGTCTGTCTGTGTGCTCTCGTGATCACCTCCTTAACTTGGGTCGAAGCGAAATCAATATGGAAGCGTAAAACGGTTTGACGAATACGATTCTCTGATCATGATATTACTAATGTCAATATTCCGCAGCGTACGTCGTTAAAAACTTTCGGCTAGACATTGGCACAGAGAATGTGCGACTGCTATGTGGGTATGTGCTGCAGATAATCAATTGACACTGTATAGCTACCCAGGAACGGCGAGAAGACACGTGGGTAATTTTAACTCGTGAGCGTTAAGAAAAAGCTCACATCAGTAGCGTCGACCCGATGAGTCCAAAGAATGAATGTGAGGGTCTCAGCAGGAATCAAACCCCGGCCTTATGCATGACAATCACGTATTCTACCAAGGAGCCACACAGGGTCTCGGTACTACTTTGCAAGTAGGCCCATAATGTTCTTGAAGCGTCAGTTCTGGTTGCGGTGCTGGCTATCGAATTTTATAAACATTCCATATGTTCTCTTAGGAAAGTGCCGTCACGTGGTGTTAACGTCAATTGTAGTTAAGCGCAATCCGCTGAAGTTTATTTTGTAGCATCCTAGGCTATACCATCCTCGCGAGCACCAGCGCTTCATATCAGCTTACCGCTTCTGGTATTGCTAATATCCATCTTGCTGTGGGCAATGTTACGTATCTGTAAACAACTGGTTATATAAAACGTATGTGGTTGTTTAACATATATCTGTTCGTGCACCTGTAAATATCTTTAACGCCACGCCCTGACATCGCCCTCTATGAAAAAATGCACATATCCACGAAACGAACGATGATGAAGGAGCTTGCTCCAGAGGTTTAATCCGGTGAACGATGATTCCTCTACACATCCTCATATAAAAACGTGACACGAGAGTTCTATTGGTGTGATTGTATATACACGTTAAATACACAATGTTTAGTGTTTACATATCAATCTACTATATAGATATTTGCACACTGATGCAGTATATACATTTTGTTTGAGAGCATATTTACGGATTGCATAAGCTTGGAGGACGGTTTTCCTTTTAGTATAATGGCTTTGTGATCCGTAAAGTACAAAGTTAGGGGATCTCGAGTTGTAGGGTGTAGTGAAAAGGTCGAGAGGGGTTCTGACGGCGAGCCGACGCTGCAGCCGCATTGCGAGCCCTCCGGGCTGCCACCTTGGCTTCTGCGGTGTTCGTAGTTAGTAGCGATATCGACGCGCACTGAGTTGTGTCCGGCGAAAAAGAAAGTGCAAGCGCTATATACAGGCAAGCGCTATATATAGGCGTGGCCACCTAGCGTTCGCCAACGAAACTAGAACACGCGCCGAGAGTGGAGCGAGTGTCGCTTGACTGGCGGCGCGACATCTAGTGAGCGCTCTTTAAACAAAAAGAGCACAGCAGCGCCTCTAGCGGGAGCAAAGAGCACTAGCGTACACGCTGGCGCTACGACGAGAGACAACTCCCCTGCAAAAGTAGCAAGATCCTAAAATATAACATATTCACTTTCGATGTCCATGCTTTGCATAACAGTGATTCCCAAGAGACGTGGGAGGTGGGACCTGCCGAATTTCCATAATGTATGGTTTCCAATCATAGACTCCTCTCTCTCTCTCCTGGCTAATAAAAGAGCGTAAATGTGCGCTGCGAAATATAAAATTGCCATTTTCTTTATTCCATGGTTTTTACATACTATGGAATCACAGGAGCGAACCGTGTGGGGCTGAACACGTATTTGAACGCCTAGCTCAAGGTCCTCGTTTTTATAACTCTGCGCAGGACGTAGTTTGCAGAAGTTTACAAGCCAACGATAAATTGCGTTCACTTATCTTGAAAATCTCCCAAATATTCGATAAAGGTTATAGGTAGCGACCGAAGTATTTTGGATGTATCATGACGAAAATGAATTTTATAACTATCAAATATCAAATATTAACTAATCGCAACGCGAATTCCTGTCCTATTTTTGAAGGGCACACAGAGTGGAGTCTAGGAAATTCTGATTAGTTTGAGCGTGAACTTTTATGCCGCTCTGAGCTCATCTGATGCTGTGACGCCAAGTCTTGAGACACTTGTCGAGTGTGAGGTTCAAGGAACGGCTTTATGCTGTCCCATAGTGGAGACCAAGTGCTTTAAATTGTTAAATGTTTTGTTCTAAACACATGCTGTTTATCAAGTGTTAAGTCCACGGGACGGCATTTAGCTCTTCCATAGTAGAGTACTAAGTAATGAAAACCACTAAGCACTTTTCCTGAACATCTTAATCAACCACTGACTAGGGACGGCTTTGTGCTCTTCCACAGTAGAGTGCCAAGTACTCTGATTCGTTGAACCCTTAACCAAACACAGTACACAGAGCCCTTAGTCATCAACATGTTTTTAAACACAACTTCCGAGGCATGTCCCTGTTTTGGTTGATGTGTTTCGTCGTGATGTTCATTCGGAATGTTATTGATGTCGAATATTTACTGTTTGTGAAAGTAAATTTCTACAAACAAATTGCATATCAGTGGCATGGAGCTTGTGCATGACTTACCCATGCCCATCTATCCTTCCTGGGACAGCCTAGTGCTCTACCATCTCTGAGTTGTTTAACATTTCTTCTGAACACATGCTCTAAATCGTCGAACATTTATTTTGAATACACACGTCTACACGAGGCTTCAGTTAGGGATGGTTATAAGCAGCCCATCGGTGCATTCTTGTCCGCTGGCACGCAATCACGGAGGTCATGCGAGGACATCGAGGTTTTATCCGATGCACACGAGGTGGCGGCTCTGTTAGATGTCAAGACCAAGAATGCACTCAAATATCGGTGGGCGCGCTGCTTGCAGCCATCCCTGACCAAAGCCTGGTGCGAAATGTCTACTCGTGGGTGCCAGTGAAACTTCGCCGATCCATCAGCAGTGTTTCCTGATCGATAATCCACTGACGGGGATTATTTCTTCCTTGTTGAGTAAACTCAAGATTTTCTTCTTTCGTGAATGAAAATCATACTGGACATTCGCTTCTTCTTTATTGGAGATGCCGAAATTACTTGTTAAAGGGACACTAAAGTCAAAACACAATTTACGTCAGAGTGAAAGCTCAATGTATGACAACATCTAAAACGACAATATTATCAACAATAATGCCCTACTTACCGAGAAATTAAGGTAAATGCACAAGAACACAAGCACCGCAGTAGGACATTTTCAAAATGATCCCGATGACATCAGACGGACTCCCTACAATTGATCACTAATAATCGATCTAACTGCACTAAATAAAGAACCCTCCGTGTATCAGCAGACGCAATATAATGCTGCTCGTTCGTTTATGTTTGATTCATGAAAAAAAACTGCCAGATGTTACTATGGGGAATGGCGCAAGTGGTTCCAAAATTGAGTTTTCGCGTGGTTACATGGGACTGGTGGTGTGATCTAGCGGGCCGCAGTTAAAACAAAAGCGTCTGCAATCTCGAAGCCAATGGCGGGAAATTGATCAATGGCCGTTGTTGCTGTTGTGGCTCCCGCTGTTTTTGGTCTGCTGCTACTAGCGCAGTAGAGCCGGGCAACGTTGTGCACGGCAGCAGTGACGTGAGACGGTCCGGTCAGTCCGCTTCTTGAGGCGGGTAATTTGAAGTGCGCTAACCCGATGCGGAGCAGTAAAACGTGATTTTATTTCAAAATAGGCCCTTCCCTGGCACAAAAGTAACACTGCGAGGTTTTTGGACTGCCATTTAAACAATCAACGTCGATTTAATAGTTGGCTTTAGTGTCCCTTTAAATGCGACTGCACCACACACACTTCTCGCTTTTGGGCATGTTGTGAGACTAATATTTCTAATTCCGTTGCACAAGACCGTTGAGTTTGAGCCCAATTATGACTCGTGTCGAGGGCTGTGTCATGTTTCTCGTCCACGGCGACAAAGGTATTGCGGTGGTCCGCAACACTGAATTCAATGTTGTCTCTCTCTCTGCTGCTTGATACTTTGACGATGCCACGCACGTTATCATATTCGCAATCCAGCCTTTTGGTTTTAGCAAAGATCCTAGAGTAGCTACGTCATTTAGAACGACTAAAAGCGAATACAGAAATAAACTGACAATGCCCTGCAGAATGCCAACAGAACATCAAGTTGTTCGGATATCCATGGTTGCTCGCGGCACGTACCTAAATTAGTTTTACCGCACCTTGCTAGGCAGCTTCCTGCCATCAAATTTACGCGGCGTTAACTTCAACTTTGGTAGTATATCAGCCCTCAACAGTTTGAGGAACAGCTGACTTCTCTTGTGGTTTTCAATTTATTTTTCCCATGACTTTTAATTAACTGTACACAGCAGCTTTGACGTATACTATGAGCGTCAAACTAAACCTCATATAACAAATCGCAACGCAAATTCCTGTCCCATTTACCATTGACAAGTGCACGCATACTGTTCGGCAGCTATGTGCATTATATGCACGCCTGTCAATGGCCATAAGTGGACGGCGTGCACTTATACCATTGCGAAGGCTTGGCGCTGTTCGGGTTTCATTTGACGCTGATAGCACATGCATTAGCAGTCGTCACCAACTACCATTTTCTTGTAACGAACCATTATTTTTTGTTGAATGCATAGAGGCCCAATCATAGCAATCCATACGTACCAGCTGCAGTTTTGTATAACGAAGACATTAGGCCAGTTACAGACCATGAAAATCGTCGAAAAGCAAAGCTATGATTACATTTGTGAGGACAATTTCGGTATTAAATGCATCATCATCGCCATTCTCCCATCTCGCACCAACTTTTATTTATTTATTTATTTATTTACTCATTTATTGATTTATTTGTTTGTTTATTTATTTATTTATTTATTTTCTCTTCGGTTGACGTGGCCTTTTGATGCCTGCGGCAACTACTACTAGTAAAACAACGATAGCAACGACGACAACGATGACTGCAATGACTACTACTACTACTACTACTACTACTACTACTACTACTACTACTACTACTACTACTACTACTTAGGTCCGCGTGCTCAGATTTGGGTGGACGTTAAAGAACCCCAGGTGGTCGAAATTTCCGGAGCCCTCCACTACGGCGTCTCTCATAATCATATTGTGGTTTTGGGACTTTAATCCCCACATATCAGATAGTACTAATACTGCTAAGTACTACTACAAATGGTGGAGGCGAAAATGCTGTAGGCCCGTGTGCTCAGATTTGGGTGAACGTTAAAAAACTCCAGGTGGTCAAAATTTCCGGAGCCCCCACTACGCCATCTCACGTAATCACAAAGTGGTTCAGGGATGTTAAACCCCACATATCGATAATCAACCAATTGACTACTATTACAAATACTACTACTAATAATCATACTAACAACTACTGCTAACCAGTAACTACTCCTCCTCCTCATACTACTACTACTACTACTACTACTACTACTACTACTACTACTACTACTACTACTACTACTACTGCTACTGCTCAACAAATACACTGGATAGAAAGATTTGCTGTAAATCTTATAACTATGCCGTTGAGATGATTATCAGCGTGGGGGTACTTACCGCTGGTGATATCTCGGCGATGTAGGTGCACTGCGCCGTGGTCGACAGCGAGACGGCAAAGCCAGTGATGAACCGTCCCGTGACGAACATGGCGAGGCTCGTGCTCAGGCTCTGCAGCGCCGATCCGCTCAAGAAGAGGGCACTGGCGAGCAGCAGCGCCCTCTTGCGTCCCAGGTTGTCGACCAGGACGCCTAGAATGGGATTGAGACACGCGATTACCATGTATCCGAAGAGTTTTATTATGGTCGTACTACAGCATAGTTTTTCGAACACGTTAAAATAGACAAAAAATCGCAGCATATTCACGCAGTGAATGGTGATGAGGGGGGCGAAGCGTCCATGCGTGCATCCATGGATCTGTCTGTCTGTCTGTCTGTCTGTCTGTCTGTCTGTCTGTCTGTCTGTCTGTCTGTCTGTCTGTCTGTCTGTCTGTCTGTCTGTCTGTCTGTCTGTCTGTCTGTCTGTCTGTCTGTCTGTCTGTCTGTCTGTCTGTCTGTCCTACCGTCCGTCCACCTATCGGTCCATCCATCTAGTGAACACTTCATGTACCGCCATCTCGCCTCTTTTCATCACATATTCATCATAGACAAACCACCATCCAGTGGACATTCTAATGACTAAACTAGAGGTGGCGACCACGACAACAAGGGACGTATGACCCACGGCGTAAAGAGCTTCGCCCCTAAAATGCCAACACTGCCGAATACTCTTTATTGGTACGCGCGAGATAATCTGTATTCACACTACGGGCATTATCGCGGACTGAACAATCACGTGACATGTGACGTGATTGTGATGCCTTCACAGCCAGCATTCACCCGACAGTGGATAATTCACGTTACAAGCGAGCATTTCGGCATTGCTCCCCGAGGACCCCCACTGTGATGTGGGCTTCCGTCGTTTCACGAATCGCTCCACGCGGCCTTAAGCAGGAATGTGAGAACAGACGACGTATGGTGACGGAGTACGCGATCCCAGGGGTCGAATCACGATTTAGTCCGTCGTGTGAATACAGATTTATGAAGAACAAGGCCACAACAAAGCAAATGCAGAGAAGTAAATGATCTGTATACAAATCTACGTAGAGCCGAACACAACAAATATAAAAGAAGGAAAGAGGAAGCGACCAGCAATGGATAGAAAGAATATGTGGAGTGAAAACGTTATGTCCCACGAATGAACCTGTACGCCCCCACTCCCCCACCCCCTAGATGTCGGCCGCGAGCACCATCTTACTAAGGGCAGGATAATACCGAGAGGGTTTAAAAAGAATCTTTTTATTTAGCGTGATAGCGTGAAAGAGCTCGTTTCACAGAAATTCCTGTGTAGTCGTTGATTGTGAGCGAAAATTCATCATATTGTTCGTGACCGAAAAGTTGAGAAAGATGCAAATAAAATAACTAATAAATCAGAATCGATAACAGGCCGCCTGTGTAGCAAGCACCTATTTTACCACAGAGCCACGTTATTGCTGGAAACTGCTTTGAAAACAACGACAACAACAAACAAGAAAACTGAAAACTATACATGAATATAATGTTGTGGAGAGGTCTCCGTAGCGCATGTACATGTGCGCGGTAGAACGCCAGAATCACACCAGGCGCGAAAAAAAAAATGATATTCAATCTCCTTTCATGTGCATTGTTCAGCGAGGGAGTGGTTTAATGTTGCCCACCCGCTATAGAGTGTGCAGCTACGCAAGTGCTTGCGACACTTTACGGACGAGCTACCGGTGCATCGTCAATCAGCAAGAATTATGGCATAGCGGCGGGCACTTAGCGACTGTACACACTCGGCAAACATTCTAGGATAGTTTGAAACGCGCAATGCTACGCGCACCAGTGTTGCTTTCCTTACAGTATTATCGCAAGTAGTGTGCACGTAACCCACATACGATGTATCACGTTCTACTGTTGAAGACGAAGCTCGAGCATTTAAACCTCTCTTTAGATAGAGTGTCGAACGATTTGGAGTACTTGATACTTTCCTACGGGAGAGCACAAAATAGACTGTGTTTGGAAAAAAAAATCGCAGCATATCCACGGAGTGAATGATGATGAGTGGAGTGAAGTGATCAGCCTGTCCACGCTTCCGTCCGTCCGTCCGTTCGTACTTGCTTTCGTCCGTCCACGCGACCATCCGTGCGTCTATCCATTCGTCTCTCCGTCCGTTCGTGCGTCTGTACGACCGCGCGTCCGTCAATCAGTCCGTCCTTATTCTTGTCTGTCTGTCCGTCCGTGCGTCCGTGCGTCCATCTAGTGAACACTCCAACTACCGCCATCTCCCATACCCTGTGGCACATACCCGCTCTAGAGCGGGTATGTGCCATCGGTGGCTACGCACGACAACAACGGAGAAAGTACATACTCACACCCTAAGGGACTTCACCCTTAAAAATATTTTCACAAAGTTAAGAGAAATTTGTGGGTGATTTAGAGCACCACGTACTTTACTAAGGCAGAATACTGAGCTCTCCTACGCCGACTGTCAGCCTGTGTTCCTAATAAATGGCCGACAATGTAGAGTTTACAGAACTCGGCTATGGGATAGCGTTACGCTGTCCCGTTTCAGAACAGGCATTGCATTGTGTTTTTACAAAAAGTTGTTAGCGACTTAGAGTATTTGGTACTATACTATGGGAGAGCAAAAAGCCATCCCGTGGGCTTCACACTTGAGGCCACGTCGACCGAAATTCTGATACTCGCCTCTACTCTGGTAGACATGGTTAAAGACTGACAAGACAGCGGAGTTGTGTTGTGCTCACGCCTTACCTAAAATGTGTTCAGATAAAGGGGTTCACGATTTAGGGTACTTCGAACTCCACTGTGCATAAACCTGTCCCATGGGCCTTTACTTAATGAGGTCAATATTTAGAAAAAGTTTATTTACACTATGTACAGAAAACAAAGGTTTCATAACAGTCCAGCAATACGGGTGTTTAGACAAATTTATTCTCACGAACAGTGAACATCAATTACAATTCGAGAGAACATCGCGACGGAACGCAACCTCCACAGACGAACCAAAACGTTTTACAAAAATATGTTTATATATGGGTACTCGTAAGAAAACGTTCATTTACACTATGTACAAAAACAAAGGTTTCATAACATTCCAGTAATAGGGCACATGCACTTCGGCACATCTATGTACCACGACAAATATCCCTACATTGCAAGGAAGCTATCATTGCTCTAATATACATGACAATGTTGGCATACGTGTACACAAAAACTCATGCGATATCTGTGTGTTTAGATAATAATGTTTAACGATTTTGAGTACTTGGTACTCAACTATGGGAGGGCAGTAAGCCGTCCCGCTAAAAGCTTTCCATAATAACCTGCTTTTATGTGTTTAGAAAAATGTGGTTAACGATTTTGAGTACTTAGTACTCTACTATGGGAGAGCATAAAGCCGTCCCTTCCGAGATGACCTCAAAGATTCACCTGGATGGAACCAAACATTCAGCGAATAAGACAGTTTATTGGCAAAATTTTCCGGAGGAATACTCCTGATTGTGCGCCTATACGTTGCTGGTTCACTCAAGAAACGTCAAAGTGCTTATTATTTTTGTAATGGCAGTCGGGTAGTTAGTGTTCCTTTCTGTGCGTCACTTTCGTAAAAGACAAGATTCCCTTAATTGAGCGTTAATCTAACGCTTACATTATCACACGGAAAGAACTTTGACTATGAGGGGGCACCACAGAAAAAATGGCAGCATATCCAAGGAGTGAATGATAAAGAGTGGGGCGAAGCATCCGTCCGTCCATTCGTTCTTGCTTCCGTCCATCCATGCGTGCGTCTGTGTGGCCGCCCGTGCGTCCATCCGCTCACCCATGCGTCCGCACGTTCGTCTGTGCGTCCGTCCCTGCTTTCGTACATGCATCCGCTCCTGCGTCTGCCCATGCGTCTATCCGTCCGTGCAGCCATCCGTGCGTCCATCCATGCATCTGTCTGTGCGTACGTTCGTCCACCTATTCAACACTCCAAGTACCACCATCTCGCATCTTTTCATCATATATTCCTCATATAGAAGCGCCGCCATCGAGCGGACATTCCAAGGACTGAACGAGAGGAGGCACACGCACACTTTCTTACGGCTTGCGCTTCGGGTCTACTTCCCACCTTTAAGGCCAAACCTCATAAGCGCGAAAATGCACGCGACAGCGACAAGCGACGCGACGTAGATCGGCTTCGCGCGATCAGTCGCTAGCGCAGGCAAACCTCATTCACGCGACGGCTTCGGCGAGCGAATTCCACTGTTGCTGGCATGAGGCCGTCTACTCGCACCAAGAAAACCGCGCAGCGAGCGGTATGCAATTTAAAAATAAGATATATTGTTGTGTAATGAAACGGAAAGTGTTTATTATTGCCTTGCAGCACTTTTTTATATGCACATGCGTAAACATTGCGGTATTTCTTGTTGCGCATACGTGACTCGGGCAGGGTCACGTGCACCTATGTAGTCTTTGTCTTTTCCGGTATTTCGCTACTGGCTGCTTGAGCCCAGCATTTCCGGGCGATGAGCGACGGTTTCCAAATCTGGAGAACCGAGCGATCGCGCGAAAACGAGCACGCGACACGTCGCGCGAACGCACTGTTTCGTCGCTCATAGCGTCGCTCGTCGCTGTCGCGTGCATTTTCGCGCTTATGAGGTTTGGCCCTTAACCACCTCGAGTTCATGGTATATACTAGTTCACTGTATTCATGGCAATGCGGCCCAACGCTCGGTAAACCTTTCTAAAACCTAGGAGATTACGCCCAGCGAATATAACGTAGCAACCCTTTCTTCTCTTATGTGCGTTGTTGAACAATAAAAAATTTTGCAGCGTGCGCGTTAGCTCAAAGCCGAATTCTCCTGCCTCTCATTCCCCCTTAGCAGCCATTGGCATGTAGAATGAGCACTATTTTTAATTATTGAACAACGCACAGAAAAAATCTCTCACCGGCACCACCTTGGAGGTCGAAATGTAAGACTGGTTATAAACTACGACTACTACTACGAGGGACAAACGGGTGCCGCTTTAAGGAGCTTCGGCACGCTCATTCCTTGGGTTTGTTGCGTCCCATGATAGAATAAACTCTTTCTAAACCTAAAGAAAGGTAAATCCCACGTACGATAGGAATCGATCATATGCAAAGCACGATTGAGAAAGGTTGATATATCACTTTAAAATTAGCGCAAGGG